AAAAACATGATTTCTGGAATTATATAGCTTTGAACTCAGTTTTATTTCTGCTATTCAAAATAGCTGTGAGACTACAATAAAGTAATTATTTAGCCTTTTCAAGCTTCAGTTTTCTGACTTATAAAAATGGGAATAGTAATATCCAATTTTGTATATATCTTAGTCCATTCAGGCTGCTACAGTGAAAGTATTATAGACTGAGTGAGCGGCTTATACACTACAGAAATTTATTCTTATAATCCTGAAAGCTGGAAGTCCACGGTCAAGGTGCTGGCAGGTTTGGTGTCTGGTGAGAACCCACTTTCTATTTGTAAATCCACTTTCTTGCTGTGTCCTCACAAGGTGGAAGGCGCTGTCTGTCACCTCTTTATGAAGGGCACTATTCCATTCATGACTCCAATTTTATAACCTAATTACCTCCCAGATTCCCCACCTCCTAATACCATCCCATTGGGGATTCAGATTTCAACATATGAGTTGGGGGGAGGGAGAAGCACACACATTCAATCCATAGCAGTATACAAGTCAACAAATGTGAAAGTACCCAGCACAATGTTTGTCATATAGATGATGCTGAGTAAATGTGAGCATTTACTCCTAATTTCCTTTTCTTGAACTGGTAATGCATTGGAATTCTTAGTATGGCACTGAGTATGCACCATATTTATTGCATTCTCATCACAGTTAATGAAGGGGTAAGGGTCTGCTATAAATGTGCATATGTGTTTTGATGGGGTATTTTTTATATATATATATATATTATATATTAGAGGCCCGGTGCACAAAAATTGTGCACTAGAGGGGGGGTGGTCCTCCGGCCAGCCTGCACCCTCTCGCAGTCCGGGACCCCTCAGGGGATGTCCACCTGCCAGCTAGGCCCAATCTGCCTGGAGATCAGTCCTAAGCCATCAGTCAGACATCCCTCTCACAGTCTGGGGCTCTCGCAGTCTGGGACCCCTCGCTCCTTACCGCCTGCCTGCAGTGGAGGCAGGAGAGGCTTCCACAACTGCCACTGTGCTCACCAGCCATGAGCCCGGCTTCTGGGAGCACACTGGGAGCCCTGTTGGAGCTCACTGACCACCAGGGGGCAGCTCCTGCGTTGAGTGTCTTCCCCCTGGTGGTCAGTGTGCATCATAGCTATTGGTCATTCCACCTGTTGTTTTGTAGATTTGCATATTAGGGTTTTATTATATAGGATACTTTTAGAAGAGAGAAAGGTCACCAGAAGAGGAGGTAAGTAAGTTTGGAAAAACTAGCTTATTTTTACTTACCTTTCTGTATTTCCATTGTTACCATGCTAATTTAAATTGCCCCCCCTCTCCTGGATTATTTCAATAATCTTACCTGGTCTTTATGGCTTCGTTATCGCCTTAGTTTATTTCTTCTTAGAAATCAGTGATTTTTTCAAAATATGAATCACATCTTATCTAAAGCCCTTATTATCCCTTGACTCTTTGAATTATACTTGACTCTTTGAGTTATAGTTTATCTAAACGCTAATCTTGGCCTGAAAGCACTTCACATCCTGGCCCTAGTCTACTCCTCCTCCCTCAGCTTCATTTTCTTCTTCTCCCCCCCCATCACTCACTACATTTTAGCCACACTAGAGTTTTCCCAGAATCTTGGATCAGTGAACTCCAGGCCGTTGCCCATGCTTCTGTCCTCCTCTACCTTCTCC